CATCCCCCCTTTCCCCCCACCGGCATGACGTGGAGAAAGTATACAAAAGACCTCGAGCGATGTTTGCCACTGCATGGATCAAACCTGTCTCCATCTGTGTCAACCTGCTCTGTGAGTCAGTTATGGTTACGACACGCCTGTACAGCTGATTCTCCAATGATGTTAGAGCAGAAAAAAGCTACCAAAAGCTGACAGTAAAAATCCCATAGCGCGAGACCACTTAGCCGCCCCCCCCCCTCTATATATGTATTGGCATCTGTGGCTTAGGTGATGCGAACGCGTGTTTTAATTGCCAGGTTAAGTAAGTTGCGTATTCTTTACAGGACGTTGCAGAACCACCCCCCGCACAGGACAACAATAATACTAGGGTTGCCGATTTTGTTGTTGTTGTTGAGGGAAAAGGGGGGGGGGGGGGGCTACTACTAAAGCACACCAAAAGTTACCAGATTTGCGATTAGATGTCATTAAAACTCTTTAAACGCACACCTTATATTTCATAAGAGTTGAAATTCTTTGTCCATTACATACATGCTGTACCATATCCCCCCCCCCCCCCCCCCCCGTTCTGTTTGTTACAAAGCTATTGTGGCGGCTTCTAGTTGCTGCAGTTAATGTCCTGGAGCAATAACTTTGATCTCATCTATATATTTATTGTTGAAATCATCAGAGAAGATCCATTCTTAATATTGTTAAGTAGAGTGAAAACGTTTTGCAGCTGCAAAGGAATGAGGTCCTGCCACAATAAGCATAAATTTTGATACTAAGGGAGAGCAACTTTAATCTCCACATTTTTCATCTGAAATTGCAAACTACTTCTTCTTTAATTCGCATGAAATGGATTATTTCTGCAATGTTGTCTCTAGTTTGAACTTCACTGTCTTTTGTAATTCACACAGCAGCCCGTCAAGTTTGACTTCCACCGATGTTTCTCTTGGCCAAAAGTTTTGCCTTGATATGTTGTACTTAGGACAGTCTTGGAGGTCATAATTCGTTGTCTCAGGTGCCAATCCACATGTGCACATGGCTGATTTTAAATTTTGTGTACATATGGCTGCGAAGTCAAAATTGTGATCTAAAATGTGATTGATCTTGCATTATTAGTTTCTTCCATTCTTTATTTATTTGTTCCTAGTAAAGTAAATATCTCCTTTCACGCCTTAGGCGCATCGGGCATATGGAAAGAGCACCTATATTCTCACAGACTAATCGGCACTAGGTGCATAATGTGGCCAGTATTACGCCGGCCGTCTTTACTTTCCCAGAACGTACATCCTGGTACCCGTTTTAGGCTGGGTCGACATGCGACGCCCAGTACCATGACAAAAATCCACGCAGCCAGCAGTGGGTTTCGATCGCGATACGTTGGAATTACAAGTCGGACTCGCAACGCCTAACCGACGGACGCCGCATTTGTTCCTAGACATATATAATAAGGCTGGAAAATTTCACGAGCAGTGGCATAACTGACTCCTGTCTTCCGTGAGTAATCTAATGCTGATTGGATCCAGCTCACAATGCCAGAATTTATCAAATGTACCAAAACATCGTAAGTGGTATCAGTAGTACAGTTTTGTTCGACAAGGATAAAACAGTATGCTATTGTATGAAAGCACCAACTTCGGCTGCTCTTGTACAAAGCGTCAAGAGCGCCCTAATTGCAGCATAACTTCCTAGGAGGTTAATTGGGATTGTCCATTTTTGATTAGTTAACAAGTTCAGGTCGGGAAGATCGACATTATTTTATCCCAGATAGCTCGGTTTCTTTGCCGCAGAACGTCTAGCCACCTGCCGAGTGCGTCGTAAAAAGCACAAACTCTGTAGCTCCAGCGATGACCCCCAAGGATCTCCGTAAAGTACAAACTGCACACGTAACCCGAACGACGTGTCTGTGAAACTAACCAACGACCTTGAAAGTGCCAGGCAAATGGTTTGACCACTTCGCCACGGAGAACCCCTGTTGGTTTGGTAGCAACCAGAAACAGAACAACAGGCATGGTTTAATGCGGGGAAAAAATGGTGTGCTTCAATAAGCTACGAAAACCTGTTCCTCTTGTCATAGTCGATGCCGTATGCCATTGGCAATGCCCATCCACAACCCTGCGTCTCGTGTACTTTCAGTCAATTCAGACATATTATTATCTTCCATGCCATGATGTCAAACTGCTCAGCAGGGGTCCTTTCTGTCTGCCTCTGCCTCTTTTTTCTTCCAGCTTTCCCACCTTCGGGATGTACTCCAGTTTTCTCCTTCCCAGGAAATGACCAAAGAATGTAGACTATCTACTTCTGATGCGGGCAGTCATTCTTCCAAGACATCTTCATTACTCTATCTGCCCACTGTAATCTCATCATTCGTCATGTATTGTTGCGCACGTAAAAACATCTCTTGAAAGTTTGAAATTGAAAAAGAGTAGCGTAACGACGCTGCCCGGGAAACAAATGGAGTTAAAAAGCTACCCAGTGCTACACAGTTCGTGCACTGCGCTGAGATTCTTCGGACTCAGGCTCGAGTCAGAAGTAGAACCGAGCTCTTATGGATTTCTACGCGTGTGTCATGATGTTGATCCTTCGTCTAAAACCTAAACCTAGTCTATGAAACCATATCTCCGCCGCTTCCAAATAAATTTTCACTAATCGACCAGTGAAAGCCTCATTCCATACAGCCATACAACATCAATGCTAAAAAATAAATAAAACTGTCACGAGTAGGTCTACAGAGTTGTTGGTGTTATATAGTTGAGCTCCTGTTCCCCATTAGGGTACGAATGCAAGCGGTCGGAATGTGTCTCTAAGAAGGCTAACCTGCCTAATGAAGTCGGATGTGTCGGCCGAAAGGCGCAAATATTGCAGCTATGCTGTAAACAGACACATCGCAATTACCTCACCTAGACGAACAGGGAAGAAGAAGAAACATGTCTTAAACAGCTAATAGTAGGCGCTGTTCAGTAACGCATCGTATTCCGCTGTCTTATATTTGTTTTACCCTACTGTTAAACATAAGTATATTTTAATTGAACTAAACTGTCATTGCTGTCTGTTTTACAAACTTGTAGGGCGGTGTAGACAGGTGGGTCTTGAGCTTAAGGATTTAGGGCCTCATGGCTTATGCTGTCGCCACGGACTGTGAAGGTTAGGATCTTTGATTTGGCCTCCGACAGAAAAACTATACAGGGAGTCGAACCCGGGTCTCTAGCATTAGAGCCCGTCGTTTTAACAACTCGGCCAACCGAACTAACCTGAAGAAAGTAAAGGTATTTAAGTATGTGGGTACTTGATAATAGCAAATGGAAGAAGAAGAATAATATTGTACTCAATATACCATTGTAGGCTGAGGAGAGAAAGAGTTCTTAACAGTTACCTAGAGCCAGACGTGATGTGTGGCTGCCTTCCCTTTTTGCTACCTACCTTCTCCTCCTTCAGATCTCTTCCTTCCCCTCTTCTGCTCCTGTTTATCCTGCACCATACACTCCCTTCTTCTGCTCTCCGCCTCCTACGCCTCCTTCTGCTGTTTTTCCTACATAAATGTTCTTGTAAGTTGTTGAATCACGGGAATACAATTACAAAACATAAAATAAACACCGTACAAAGAAATAAACTGTCACACAGAACAGAGGAGGGAGCGAAGAACGAGATGCAGCATCAATTCTTAAGTTTGAATAAAATGACTATAATGTCCTACAATCTGCAACTTCATTTAACTGTCGTATCTCCAGGTCATCATTCACAAATAATCATCAGCAGAGGTGACTAAGATACCACGTCTGTCCACCAAGACAGAGGCGCCGCAAACTGGGGGTTGAGAAACGTTGAACCCCTCCCCCCTGAACCCCGCAATTTTAAATGGCGGGGGGTGGGGGTGCTGAGATGCCTCACCTCTATAAAACTTACAGACTGGTTTCCCTAACCCTTTATATGCGTTCTGTTCTGAAGTACATGCATTCATTGAGACAAATGAAAGTCGTGAAATAAATAGAACAATAAGACGTAGTCAGTATTTTTGGACATATTGTAAAAAGGATCGGACTCGCGAACTTGGTAACAACTGGCAGGATTGATGGAAAGACAGCAAGAGAAAGGTCAAGAGATAAATACCTGGATGGTCTGGCCAGATGGGCGGGACGAGACAAAAACATTGAACTGATCTGTGATTCTGGCGATCTTGTAAGATAGCAAAAATGACAGCATACGCTTACCGGCACATCATCATGATTTGTTTATTCATTTCAAATTATTTCAAATGTATTGCTAAATTTATTTGTCAGCTAACACACAATCATGATGATAATAGTATTATTATTGCGCGTTTAAAAGCGTTTTAACCATTACTTACGTTTTTTTAATATTCAAGGAACAAATTAAGAACAATTTGGAAGCAACAGAGATGTGGTTTCTATGTGTTACATATACCTTGGACGGCCAGAGTAACTAACAACGATTGTTTGAAAATTCTAATGAAAGTATATATACAACAATAAGAAAGAGACAAACACTGTTCTTTGGCCACGTGATGAGAAGAGAGAATTTGGAAAACATCGTGACAACTGGACAGATCAGTGGAAAGAGGGGTAGAGGCAGACCAAGAGAGACAATGCTGGATGGGTTGAAACGATGGCATGGAGGGATATCATCAAGAGAGCTGTTCCAGGCAACCAGGGATCTGTGGAGACGCATGAGCGCCAACACCGGTTTGCAGGGAACATGATGATGTTTAAACGAAGCTAAAGCTTACTGGGGAAAAGGGGGGTGGACGCTCCAATGGAAAAATTAGCAGGCTGACGGCCCCCTAATATTTTATCTGTCGGCGCCGCTGCATCAAGCTAAATCCCATCGTTTGATTGCAAAGATGAAATTTGCCCAGTCAGAGCCCCAGGTTATCAATCCCGATAACCATATAGATATCACTCTTCATTAATCTTGTATCAGCCATTTTAGAACAAGAGACCGTTCACCCGTCTTGTTGGCCGAAATTTCCACAGACGCAATTTAATTTTCGTTGGTCCACCATGTCTTTCACACTGACCACATCTGTATTTGCAGTATTAACTGCACTTGTTCACGTTGTAGCGGCGAAAGGTAAGAAATGTAGATTAAACTTCAGATGCTGAACGCGCAAAAAGCAACAGTTTTATTATATTCTAAACATTAAAAAAAAAAAAAAAAAACACCAGTTCTTAACAAATGTTTTATCAGAAATTTAAACAAAAACATGAGCTCCAGCCACTGCGAAAACCTAGTAATGATACAACTAGAATGTTCTTTCTTATTTAAAGACAATCTCTATGGAGATGTGAATAACCTCAGACTGAATGCTGATTTCTTTAAATATTTTCGTGTTGACGGCTGAAGGTGTTTCAATGACAATAATGTCATTTTATTGGAACCGAAACATGTACGGGGAACATTAAAAACTTAAAACAGGTAAACGAGAGGACATGAAGTGAGCGGCACAAGATGATAGCGGATAGAATGGTGTGGCGTCCTCTGGTGGGTTCTAATGTCCATTTTTTTGGGGTAGAGGGGGATATACTCACTGCTGCGTAACAAGCATATCGGAAAAGGCAACTAATTAGGGATTGTGTTGAAATCGGATGTGTTGGGCCGAAAGGTGGAAATATCACAGCCTAGCAGTAAATTACAACGCAACTGATTAACGGTTCCGCTAAAGACGACTACAGAAGAACAAGAGGAAAAAAAAAAAGGGGGGGGGGGAAACGAACGAATGGTTTTGCACAACATAGTTGATGCCACATATCTAGGATAGGTGGGGACAAGTACCCGCATTTTTATGTGTTTTTTTTAAATTGCTAGAAAACCGTTCATCTGGGCGGCCTAAGCGCCAAGGTTCCGACGTCTATACTTCCATACTTATTTCTAAAAAAAATTGGTGGTTTGCACGATAAACTTCTTTGTCCTTGAAATGGCGGTTGGTAGGCTGTGTCGTGGGCTACAGTGAGCCTTTCGACCAAACACATTTGACTTCAGCAAACTCCTAATTAGTCACCTGTTACGACACATTTGCTAGGAGGTGGTGGGTATACCCCCCCCCCCCAGTCCCCACCGGGGCCCCATAGGTCACACATGGAGCACACTGAACGATTTCGGAACAATACTTTTGCACAATACTTTTAAACAGTTGCTGACCATTGCTCTATCTATGTCGTGATCTCTAGCCGAGTTTCTTTTGTTAAAACGTGAACTTTCTAAAGTCCATATAAAACTGCACATTTGAAATCTGTTTCCTCTCCCTGCCGTTATTAACACATAAGGCCTTCACAAGTGGTTTCCATTGATGTCGATACTGCTTTCTGCCCACGGTATCCCATTTCAGGTTACACTCCTTCAGGTCTGAAGTGAATAGCAGAAAACAGATTTACCCAAAAAATCACCCTGAGCCGAACGACGCAGTTCGCGAAGCGAACCCACGGCCTTCAGAGCACGTGACAAACAGCTTGAACACCTACTCACGGAAATCTATACAGAACAAGTATATTACCACTTAACCGTAATTATAGTTATATATTATTATAGTGCTTTTGAGTTCAACGCACCCAGATATCCGAAAGAAAACAAACCATCTCTAAAATTTTTCAGGACAAATCGGTCTCCAAATTACCATCGAGAAAAAAAAAATTATTGATCTTATCAAGAGTTCAGAGGGCATCAGACTGAACAATAATATTCTTGAAAAAGTCAACAACTTTACATAACTAGGAAGTAAGATGACATCTACAGTGGACTTAGCTCCAGAAATATCATCTAGAATCGCACGTGTATCTAGTGCCTTTAACAAACTGTCAAACATTTGGAATTCACACTCAGCAATCTCACAAAACTTACGATCTACAACTCTTGTGTGATTCCATTGCTAACTTACGGATGCAAGAGTTGGAAAGTAACAGTAGCTCTAGATACAAAAATTAGCCAGTTTGGAGAACAAGTGTCTTTAAAGAATACTAAATCTCCACTGGGCAGATTTCAGATCATATATGCAAAAAAGACAAGAGACCTAGCAAGACAATGTATTGAATTTAATTAAAAAAGCGCCGGTGGAACTTCATCGGCCATGCACTCAGAATGGATACGACAAGACTTCCATATGAAACCCTCATAAAGAAACCGGAAAGGAAATAAAAACTGGGAAGACCAGGAAAGACTTTACGTAGAACCATCATTAGGGAAGGATCAACCATGGGCCTAACAAACATCCAAATCGCAGGTGGCAACGAACTCCCATACATGGAGAGCTATGACCTCTGCCCTATGTGTCGCCCAAGGCATAAGAGGAGAAATTAACTAATAACCGTTTTTTAAAATGTATTATTTCTGTTAGGATTTGTAACATGATAAATAATTTCTATTTGTAAAGAATTCGTCGACAATGTCCGCCAACACTACGCAGAGAATATCAATGATTTACTTGTCAAGCAGATCCAGAAGGAGCTGTCAGCTAGCTACATATACCAGGGCTATGTGAGTAACCCAGTTCCTTTCACAGTGGCTCATTTGATATATGTATGCTGCCTATTTGCATGTCTGCCTGCATGTCCTCCTACCTGTTTCTCTTCGCCGCCAATGACGTGCTCGTCAAACAGACCCAGAAGGAGCATCCAGCCAACTATCGTTACCGAGTTCAGGGCCGTGCCGTGCTATGTTACCGAGATACAGCCGCAATAGGCAGCACCCTAAGGGGGTGACATTGGCAGCGAAATCAAATACAGTTTGAACTTTTTGTTCTCACAGCGAGAAGCTATTAGGGCGGCATTTCTAATACTTGCATCATACTAATAACGTGTACCGCACGGAACTGACTGGGTCTGCATGAGTAGTTAAGTTCTGTCTGCCGCATGTCTATCTGCATGTCTACCTATCTGTATCCTAGGACGTCTGTCTTTTCGTCCTTGTGTGCCTTCCTTCCTGTATGTCTCTCTACCTGTTTCCGTGTGTATCCGTCTATGCAATCGTTGAGGCAACAAAACATCTGTAGCATGTATGAAGATTTTACTCATATGTCTGTCTCTTTGTGTTAATTTATCTAGGATCTGTTTTGTCTATTTCTGTTTGATTTCTAGTCTTCTCATTTTTGTTTTCTCTTTACTTTTATTCTCCGAACTAGTTTAATAAAGTGGAGATCGGAGAGGTGCATCACCTTGGGAGTGTTAAGGCTAAAACCAGTCTCCAGGACAGGTGCCTCGGTAGCGAAGTAGGTAGCGCGTCAGTCTCATAAACAAACCAGCCTCTAGGGCAGGTGCCTCGATAGCGCAGTAAATTCAAATTCAAATTCTCTTTCTTTGACCACTTTCAGCTAGGTCCGTTCACATTTCTGCTCACTTTCCTTTCAGCTATATTTGTGGTGACGTTTTCTGGTCGCGATCTTATTTGATTCTGGATTGTGTTCAATATTGTCACTTTCTGTTTGTTGTGGTTTCCGCTCTTGCTGTTGTTTTTGTAATCTGGCTGGCCCTGTGCTGCGCTCAAGATGATTGGATGTTGGATCGATTTATTGTGGTATTCCTTGGCTGTTTGTTGTTTCCGGGGAAAGTAGATTGCCTATCCTAATAAGGACCGGCGGTCGATTGACTTGGGCAGGTACTGATGGCTATACTGCTGAGGTCTGGTATTATTTGGTGATTTTCTCGTATCCTTGTTGTAAAGTACTGCTCCTACATAGGGTTTCGGTAATTTGGCCTTGGTTGTGTCGTATCTGGTATTAGTGTTTGGGTAACGGTGTCGACCTCGTTTGACTTCAAATTTTGGCTGTCGATGTGGTTCCTCTGGTGATGACCAAAAAAACATCATCATCCTGCAGTTCTGAGTTATAGAAGTTCGGGTCCTCCATCTCCATGATGCGTTGGTTAATTTGGTCAACTGTTGCCAACGGAAACTGTTTCATCAGCGATGCCTGAGTTTTCTTATCTGGTGTTTGATGCGGCTTTTTTCTGGGTCTCGGCTCCCTGTATTTGCTGCCTTCTTGTTGCCTCTTTCCGTGCTTTCTCTCTTTCTTCCATCACTCTGTTGGTTGCTTGCAGTTCCTTGTTAAGTCTGTTGTTTTTCTTCGTATGCTCTTCGTAACTTTTCCTCTGTTTCAGCCAGTGCCTTCTTGATCATTGCGACTTCTTTCGCGAGAAGTTGTTGGTTATCCCGCAGATCATTGATGACCGCCTCGTCTTCCCTTGCCTTAGTTGGTTGTTCCTTTTGTGTCTGGATAGTGGCCAGTGCATTCATGATGTCCTCCTTGAATTTCGTCATCTCTGCTGTCATCCGTTTCTGGGTGTCAAGAGTCGCCTGCATTATAGCCCTCAGGCCTGTTATTTCATCTCTGTCTTCATCTCGTTGGGTTTTGGATGCGTCTTTCTCGTCTCTGAGAGCTTGGATGTCACTTTTGAGTTGAGCCACCTCGTTGCTCAATTTGGTGGTAATGGCTGCAGTTATGCCTTGGGTTGCTTCGTGTCTTCTGCGGGCCTCATGGTATGGAATCTTATCCCGTATGGCCGTGGTTGCAATTTCTCTACATTGTTGCAGAAGCGCAGTAAATAGCTCGTCAGTCTCATAAACAAACCAGTCTCCAGGACAGGTGCCTCAGTAGCGAAGTAGGTAGCGCGTCAGTCTCATAAACAGAGCAGTCTCTAGGACAGGTGCCTCGATAGCGCAGTAAGTAGCTCGTCAGTATCATAAACAAACTAGTCTATAGTACAGGTGCCTCGGTAGCGCGTCAGTCTCATAAGCAAAGCAGTCTCTAGGACAGGTGCCTCGATAGCGCGTCAGTCTCATAAACAAACCAGTCTCCAGGACAGGTGCCTCGGTAGCGAAGTAGGTAGCGCCTCAGTCTCATAAACAAACCAGTGTCTAGGACAGGTGCCTCGATAGCGCAGTAAGTAGCTCGTCAGTCTCATAAACAAACTAGTCTTTAGTACAGGTGCCTCGGTAGCGCGTCAGTCTCATAAACAAAGCAGTCTCTAGGACAGGGGCCCCGATAGCGCGTCAGTCTCGTAAACAAAGCAGTCTCTAGGACAGGTGCCTCTGTAACGCAGTAGGTAGCGTGTCAGTCTCATAAATAAACTACTATCTAGGACAGGTGCCTCGATAGCACAGTAGGTAGCGTGTCAGTCTCATAAACAAAGCAGTCTCTAGGACAGGTGCCTCGATAGCGCAGTAGGTAGCTCGTCAGTATCATAAACAAAGCAGTCTCTAGTACAGGTGCCTCAATAGCACAGTAGGTAGCTCGTCAGTCTCATAAACAAAGCAGTCTCTAGGACAGGTGCCTCGATAGCACAGTAGGTAGCTCGTCAGTCTCATAAACAAAGCAGTCTCTAGGACAGGTGCCTCGATAGCGCAGTAGGCAGCTCGCCAGTCTCATAAACAAACCAGTCCACAGGACGGACATTACCTCCCCCATATTAAATGCACAAGTGTTCGACCGCCCTGATCGCGCGTTTTTTGTGTGAGTGTGTGTGTGCGCGCGCGCTGCGTGCGTGCGTGCAGACATGCAGACATTTGTACCACCAAAGGGAACTGGAAAACATATATAGCACCAACAAATATACAGTCTCCAGTGAGTCTAAGTAAAAAGTACAATGATATAGTAAAAGATTTGTAACTTAATATGAATTTACTGGTGTTTTTTTAAACTAGTATTTATGTACTTTTCTTATATAGGCATCTTACTTTGATCGTGCCGACGTCAGTTTGCCAGGTGTTGCCAAATTTTTCTCTGGCGCTTCCCTGGAGGAAAGGGAACATGCACAGTCCCTGATCGATTACATCAACAAAAGAGGTGGCCACGCCCAGTTTGAGAAGATAGATGTAAGTCAGTGTTGACTCTTACAGTCCTAGCCAACATGTAATGACTGTTTAGCTCCTCCCTCTTCAACGAAGGGGTTCCAGGGTTCTGTTTTATGAGGGGCTGCGTGGTCTCAAGGCATGGTGTCCGCCTCGAGTGCTGGAGGTTCCGACGGCAAGAGCTGGGATTTTTTAACGTAGACTTGGACTTCTGGTGATTGCCCCTGGTCTCTGGGTAGTGAGATCGGACGTCCGTGTGCATTGTTGCGCACGTCAAAAATCCCCTGGCAGTTGGAAATCGAAAAAAAAGGAGCCTAACGGCGCTGCCAGAGCAAAATTTTGAGTTAAAAATCTACTTAAAGTATTTCAGGATCCTCCCCTGCACTGCGCTGAGCTTCTTCGGACTCCTGTCCTCCAGTAAAGTTAAAAAGACAGAGGGACATGGGGTGAACTGCATGCAATAGCAAAGGAGGACAGAACCACTGCTCCCGCACAATGTACCGTAAAGAAAATAACAACCAGCAGTGGGTCTGCCAAACATATTTTAACGCCAGCATTAGCAAAGCCGTTTCGGTTGTGTCGTGGAAATGCAGTTTCAGCTATTGTCCATAGGACCCTGTTATTGTTGTCGTAGTTTTTGAGCGTTTTTGTTGTTAACCTCAATGGTGTTGTGTTTAGTGTGTAAATATAGTGAAACTGTGTTGTAATTGATATGGTCGAAAATTTTATATAACTAACTGTGGAAGTAAATTAAAAAAGAATGCAGCTTTGTATAGATCGATGAGTGCCAAATCTACTTCGTTTTATAAAATGCTTACTTTTAACAACCACAGTAAATGCCTGCATGCCCCACAACAAACCTGTCAAAACTTAAAAATGATGCATGGCTATTCAGATGTCATCAATCACTGGATGGAAAGTTATTTGTTTCTAAGACTACTCTTCTCAAAACGACGTGTGTAGCAAGCTTTGACAGATATGTCGTTGGTTACTTCCTAGTAGCCGTACGATAAACGATTAAATCGTCAGGTGATCTAATGGAGATTTGGCCACACGTTTCATTAGCACGCACGATTTTGGTAGAAAATAAATCAATCTCTGGGAGACCCCTGGGGCTACTGAGGTAGAATGATGGAGTCCCCGTGTAGGATCTAAGGAGTCATTTTGGGTGGGATGAAAAGGCGGAGGGGAGATAGATCAACTGCACTGCTCACAAGCATGTCGTATAAGGTGGCTAATTAGAAGTTTTCTAAAGTAGGATGTATTAGGTCGGAAAGGGTAGATATAACAGCTTAATTGTAAACCACAACACAATGTACCAGCTGTGTTTTTAAGAAGAAGAAGAAGAAGAAGAAGAAGAAGAAGAAGAAGAAGAAGAAGAAGAAGAAGAAGAAGAAGAAGAAGAAGAAGAAGAAGAAGAAGAAGAAGACGAGAATGATCAATATGTATATTGCCTGGAAGCTACAGGTTCGATTCCCAGAGTTAAGAATAAAACTGGAATCTTAGTGTCCTGTTCTTTTTTTTTTTTCTGCACCCATAATTACATTCGCATGAATTGATCAGAAAGCAAAGAAGTAAGGCTTCACCGTGTAATATTCACAAAGACATAAGTGACTGCACATTTCAATTGCATCACAAATGTACGGCACAAGTTAAAAAAAAAATTACAAGTATTTATTATAGAATATACAATATAAAAGCTGTAAAAAAAAAAAAAAAACAACACGAGAGTCGATCGAACTGTGTCTAGAATATCTGCCAGCAGTAGTTAAATTATGTTTCAATGTCCCATATTTTTTGTTTTTGTTTTAATGACCATAAACGTTTAAAAAAAAATGTTGATCAGATACGCATCATCTATCAGCAGTTCCTTTACAGAATATCCCTCTCTTCACGACACCCATTTTTCAAGCCAGTTCTTCAGGCCTATGGGCTTTTACAGCTGGTATATCTTCAGTGTCTTGTATCTATCCAAAACCAGTTGGGCCTCTGCTTCGTTTCCCGGAAACGGCACCCTCCTGGCCGTTCCGTCGAGGCCACCATGATGCTTAACATGGCCAAACTACCTCTGCTTTCGGGTCAGGATGCTGCTTATGAGCCAGATATCCTTGATTTTCATATCACAATGGCTGTCGGTGTTTTTATTCTTCTTGGTCCACGATATTCTAAGAATTTTTCTGTATCATTTCAGTTCAAAGGCTCAGCTTAGATCAGATACTTGCTAAAAAAAAACATCCTTCCTTGCTAGATACTGCTCTCCTCTAAAAAACATCGGAAGATGTGAGGGCTAAATATTGGCCTCCTTAAATAGTTCAATATTTTTATTTTTTTCTCCTTACACTGTTGTATATTTATTCATTTTCACCCATTTCCCCCTGATTTTCAGTTGAAAGCATCTTGTGAGCTTGTATGGAATTACTTGACCGGAGAATCCAGTGACCTGGGCTCGTTTGCCAGCAGGAGAATGTGTGTAAGTCAGGCTCATTTCTGCCCACTATTTACTTGAAGACTAGATATTTAAAAAAAAAAAAAAAAAAAAAATAAAGAGGAGAGGCATGATTTTCAATTTCAGCTCTTGGTATTGATGACGATGATGATGATGTTATAGTAGGTGTACTGGATATATGGTGCTACTCCTTTAACCGATGGGTCCTAAAGATGCTGACTGAAAAATATCTACAAGTTCCAAAAAATATTTATGCATGTTTTATTCATTACAAGCAGGCCTTTGATAGGGGGTAGCACAAAAAGCTTTTTACATAAATCTAAAATGTAGGATTAGATGTAAAGGATATCATAATTAATAATAACCTATACAGGGAAAAAACAGCAGCAGTTAGACAACAGCTTCATCTGGAGATTGCACCTGATTAATATACTGATTGACCTGCTGATTTATATGATGAGTATTACCCGGCCGCCGTTACTTTACATAAGGTTTCCTCGTATCCCCCCATACTGAGTCGACAGGGAGTCTGGGGTAATGTGAACAAAACACCTCGATGGAAGTTCGGGCTAACTACTACCCTTTCATGGTAGCCGAGGTAACTGGAGTTTGACATAACTGGTACGCTTTGGAACTCAAAGTCTTTTTACAAGTTGATGTGGTCTTTTGGGTTTTCATGCCGAGGACAAAACTCTGCTTGAACTTTCAAGTAATACAAAGTGAGGCGAATGAGAGAGAGAGAGAGAGAGAGAGAGAGAGAGAGAGAGAGAGAGAGAGAGAGAGAGAGAGAGAGAGAGAGAGAAGAGAGAGAGAGAGAGAGAGAGAGAGAGAGAGAGAGAGAGAGAGAGAGAGGAGAGAGAGACAGGGAAAGAGCGAGAGAGAGGAAATGTACATTCACATTTACCCACACACACACACACACACACGCACACACACACACACACAAAGAGAGAATTACCTCAACACGCACCCAACCATATCTATAAATATATACATCTACACACACACACACACACACACAACCCATAAGACGGTTGGGACATTTGATATGTGTGATCATATAGGTTTAGACACACTGACATCACTCTGCTAAAAATTATAATGAAGAGTAACACAATCAGTCGACAAACTTCAAAATGTCGCCAGAGTGAGTGTAAAAGGACATACGTGAATGTACATTTACCCTAACACTCACATGCATTCACTCATCGCATTCACTCACTCGCTCATATATATATATATATATATATATATATATATATATATATAATATATATATATATATATATATATATATATATATATATATATATATATATAGTATGACTATAATATATATATATATAGTAATAGTACTGTAATATTCAGTTCGTAGCACGTATTAAACTGTATTATTCTCTTTCCTTATCTGCAGATTTGTGGATTTGTAACAACCCAGGCATTCAATGCCCAGTGTGTAAGTATTACGCCAGCACATACATATCTGATACTCAAAGCATATGACACACTGAATGCGTTACATGCGTTAGTTTAAGTATTCTGAGATTGTATTAAACTATTATATTTTCATTATTGTTATCTCAACAAAAATCCCCAATGTAGTTCCGGGGTCCGACTGGGGGAACAGAATGAAATGGCCACACCCACACACTTATACATCTACAAATGCATACACACATCCACAAACATGCATACATACACACACCCACATACATGCCGACACACATTACATACATGCCCACACATGCATGCATAGACACACATACAATCACCCGTACAGATACTCACATACATACATACATTCACTCATGTATACATACATTCATACTTGCCTACATTATGTACACACATACACTCATATACAGTCACACATACTTACAACACATATACATAAATACACACACAAACAAACTTAAATATACATTAATATATCCACATGCATGCATACACACACACCCACAATCACACACACCCAGATAATGCATACATATATACACACATATAGATACTTTTATACATACATACACACACATAATACATACCCACATACTTACATACATGCATACATTCATACAAGAAGAAGAAGAAGAAGAAGAAGAAGAAGAAGAAGAAGAAGAAGAAGAAGAAGAAGAAGAAGAAGAAGAAGAAGAAGAAGAAGAAGAAGAAGAAGAAGAAGAAGAAGAAGAAGAAGAAGAAGAAGAAGAAGAAGAAGAAGAAGAAGGAGAAGAAGAAAGGTCCCAACAGACGATGGATGAAAACCGTACACTGCTTAGATAAATTAAACATGGATTCCAGGGCTCCATTGTGGGGAAAAACAAGAATTAACCCACTGCCTTCCCAACAAGCATGTCGAAAGAGTCGACTAACCGGGGATTTCCTTGAAGTTGGAGTGAATCTGCCTGAAAAGCACGGGACCAACAGCCTGCATAAAAATTAGTCAGATCTGTAAAACGGATGTGCATGAAATACTCAGGTTCTGTAACAAAACTAAAGTCTAGAGGTAGACGAACAGCTTGAACTGTCCGCTGGAGTTAACAGCCGGTGAATGCGAAGAAGGCGAAGAAAAGTAATAACAGATTTTAAAAAAAAAAAATTATGTAATGAAGTAAAGCAAACTTGAAAACGTTGAAATACTGTGACATTTGGGAAACATGATGGAACACACATATACACATACACATGCACGCGCGCACTCACGCACATACGCACATACAAAACACACACACACACGCACGCACAGACAGACAGACAGACAGACAGACAGACAGACAGACAGACAGACAGACAGACAGACAGACAGACAGACATGCATACATTCATACATGCATACATGCATACATTCATACATACATACATTCATACATACATACATACATACATACATACATACATACATACATACATACATACATACATACAGACAGACAGACAGACAGACAGACAGACAGACAGACAGACAGACAGACAGACAGACAGACAGACAGACAGACAGACAGACAGACAGACAGACAGACAGACAGACAGACAGACAGACAGACAGACAGACAGACAGACAGAAAGACAGACAGACAGACAGACAGACAGACAGACATAAATGAATGAGAGGAAGGGCTATGAGGGATAAAGAACAGCAACTAATTGTTTCAGATAAAGTGTTTTTGGTGTTGATAAATCAATACACAATATACACATATTTTAACATACGCGTGCGCACACAGCCACACACATTGGTGTGTGTGAATGTTGCTTATACATTCTTGAACCTAATGTTTCACATACAGGAAGAGAGAAGCGTATGGAAAGAGGCTCTGATGGCCTTTGAGGATGCCTTGGCTATTGAGAGATTTGTCAACAAGGAGCTCTTGGATCTACACAAAGAAGCTGATGCTAGAAAGGATGCGCACGTAGGCTATTTATCTCACATCGTACACATTTAACCAATATAAAACCTAATAGAAAGTTCATTAATTTGTGTATCATCGATTTAATGGGGATTCGCGACTGAGCACTAGATTACATGATTGCTTGTCTGCCGGTAGTCATATGTACTAACAATCTCTCAAACTGTGGTATATTAAAAACTTGTTTAACAAGAGGAAGTCGTTAATGATTGTGTCTATGCGTGTAGTTCACGACATCTTTTCTGTTAAAGTCATGCAAGCCGAGACTACGAATTTACTTTTTGTTTACAGTTATTAGTAACGTTGGCAGGTTTTTTTTCCCTCCCCCTCTTTACGTATTACATGCACCTTTTGAAGACATTTTCTTTAACACTACCGAAATACTCATTTTGTGGTCAGTAACTGCATCGATTTTATACACTTTGTGGCGGGTACAAGCACTTTTTTTTTCCACTAACTTAACTTTTTAAGTCAGAGAAATGATACTATCAGACTATGGTAACAGAATCTCCCTCGACTTGCTTTGCGAGAAAAAAATCGTTAAGTTCAACCAGCACCCCTGAAGGGGGCAGCTTTTGGTTATAATTGTGACTAGGTTTATGTGCACCACCAAGTAGCCATGAAAAAGACTTCTGCAGTGTCGATGCGATCAAGAGCGACAGACCCAAATACTGTCCCGACCTGCGACGAAGTCGTCTACCGGACAGCAAACGATGGAACACCTTTCACAAAATTCATTTAGAAGTAGGTTAGATAGGGCATCTCGTTAGAATGCAGCCACAACTGCCAGCACAAGTAAGTACAGGACCCTTTCCCGTTCTTTCAGGCTTATTGTTTATATAGAGCTAGACATGTATTTGATATACCAGTCGGCATTCGTTGGGTGATGTGGTCAAGATCTCGCCGGCTGCTTTTACTTCTTATGACTGTAGCTGATACCCATTCAAGGCTGGGTCGACCTGGAAGCCAAGGATATTTTTGAAAAAAGCTCGGCTCCGACAGGATTTGAACCCACGACCTTCTGATCCGCAGGTGAGCATCTAATTGCTTCACCACGACGGCTGCCACTAACACAAGCGCTACACTTAAAAAATCTGGCATGGAAGCAATATATGGCGCCCAGTGAAAAAATAGATTGATAAAATGAAGAACATGAAATAACGTTAGCGAGTGCTACTCGTCGAGCTATGGATCGTAAACTGTTCCTGCCTCTCGACGCTTAACGGCAAAAGTAGAAATGGACACTGACGGTTAGTTGCGTATCCTTTACAGGACGTTGCAGAACCAAACCCAACAGCCCCTGGCTGTTGTGTGAGTTTTCTAGGCAAATTTACGTCCAGTAGTTTGCCATTGCTTCCTGGACGATCGGCTTTCTTGATACCACTGTCGAAACCAACGCAAGGCGCATGGCCCGCATCCCGGCATTACGAAGCCTTCGCATCGACTTAGCCACAGAGCCGACCGACATTGATGATGATGGCGAATTATGGGTATGGAGAGCATCAGCCTTATACAGTTGTCAGCAGTTTCTTTCCATTTTGAAAAAAGAATGGGGGGGGGGGGCGGAGTGAGTGGTTTCTGATAAAAAGAACCATTAGTTTGAAAACTGTTCTTATTATAATTTTATTTGATGTTTTGAGTTGGATTTAATTAGAATTACTGTTTTTGCCCTAATGACATTCTTTCTCGTGTGGGCTGCTATGCTGACCTGAAATGAGTGCCAGAATCTTGCATAGGAAGCAAAAGCTCTGGCGTTATGCTGACTCACCAGTCAAGCGCAGACTGGTCTAATGATAGGGAGCTAATACGAAATGTCTAAAATGCCTTAGATATTTTTCTCATATACTCAGACCAGACCTGTAAGACCAGGGCTGGGTTTAGACGTGAAAGGGCCCTAAATGGTACGGCCATTTAACAGATCAGCACCAGATAGGGCACCACAGAGAGAAATACTATACAGATACAACGGTAACTGAACCAGAGGTAGACAGCGCTGGAGATGGACCACATAAATAGCAGAGACACTGAAAAGTACTATATACGGAGCGAAGAGATCTTTTCCTCCCCTGACGCTGAGAGGCATTCCAAAAATAGAGTAAAGAAGAAAAAGAAGGCCCTAAACTAAATAAAGTCATGTCCTCTTGTCGTTTTAGATTACACTAGCTAGTCTCAGAAAATTGCAAAATATAAACGCCCTCAAACAGGCTGCAAGTTAGCATGAATATAAACCTGAGATAATATACCGAAACTAATATTTATACAATTTGAACATTTCTAGGAGGAAAAAAAAAATAAAAATATGTTAAAAGAAACTGCATTTAAAATATATTAAAATACAAAATGTATTTGTGGCGCGAAAGATATAAATCTTTTGATTCCCTTTCAGACTGTGAGGCCTTAAGCTTATTCCTTAATTTAGCAGATTATAAGACATATCACGCAGTGGATTGGGTGACAGGACAGTAACTGATCACATAGTATGTTGTTTGAGCGGAAATATGCTCAATATTTTAAAAACGAGCAAAGTTATATTTTTACAATCACGTCACTGATTCATATGTTGTTTTTTTATTTAGCTGGCCCACATTCTGGAGCACGAATTCTTGGAGGAGCAAGTGAGTTCTATCAGCAAACTTGCCCGCTACGTCACACGACTACGCAGTTTTGCAGGGGGAAACAACTACAAGCTTGGAGAATATATATTTGACCAGCATTTGTCCTAACTGATATCACCTCAAGCTAATTTTGACCCCAGCTTGTAGAATCAGATCCAGATATGTTTCAAATGGAAAGTCTGAAGAATTTACACGTGCAGAGGATCTTTGGTTAATAATAAAATTGCACATTTATTTTATTAATATCATCTTGCTTTGAATTGTTTGATTTATTTAAGCTATCGAACTTTCAAGAACCTAACGAGTACATAACAATTTTACTGATGAGTAACCAGTTCACTGAGAATACTGGTACGTTTTATACTTCAGTACTACTGTATAATGCAAAAGGATGAAAAATGAACAGGACGTTTGACAATCGAAAGAAACCATAGACAGGTTAATGTACGAGTGTAAACAATAGGTGGCAGTTAGTGAAAACAACAAAGAAGTGTAGAAATCCAATCGCAGAGGAGCTGTGAATGAGAAATAGGTAATGGGAGAAAACAATATGGGACCAAAAAAAATAAGTTCACCACTCTAACATAAATCTAATGGTATAAAAGTCGCATTACAGGAACAAACTGAAGGCAGACAAGAAGTATAGCACTGTTAATCAGACACTTATATCAGTTTATTAATACCAGTATATTTTTTATATGAATATATTTATTTTTTATATCTAAGATGGACGAACATTAATATGTTGGAGTGTATTATAGGACTGAGAACTAGAATAGTTGGGAATCTAAAACAGATAACTTTCACGGGACCTTATTGCCTGAATGTATTTACTAGGCGTGTATTTATTTTTATACAGTTTTCCTGGTTATCCTTTAGGTTCATTGTGAAAAACAATAGTTGCAACTGCCTGGATAATGTTACATTTAAAAAGTTTTCTAAAAACTAAAGTGTCTTTTCATCCTAAACCAACCTCCGTCATGAAATAAATGATAAAATGATTACTTGATTTGATATCATATCAACTGCAGACACACACACACACTTGTGCGTGCACTCCCACATCCGTTCACAAAGTGGCTTATTTTTGTTTTCTAATTAACTTTAAATATGGCTGGCATGGTTTTGAGCGCCAAATGGTTTATAAACAGTTGGAACTGCACGACCTGTCCATAGCCTCAAGTCACAGAAACATGTCTTTTACTTGAAAAAAAATTGTATACCCTTTAAATAATACTAATAGACTGAAATAACCTTTGCGCCCTTCATGTTTACTTTTGACCTAGGCTCCCAGGTCGACCAGCCAAATTTGGAAAACCCGGACATATTCAGACAAGTAAAGATTACTGGTGTTATTATTCACTGCATCATTAGGTTATAATTGATACATGAAAATATGAAGCTAGCATAGAATAACTTAGTAACCCTTACGGCGTAGAAAGAGTTACTTTTAGGTTTGATTATTATTGCCCTTTATTCTCGAAAAGACACTTCTTTCAACCTTTTGAAATCTGTTGCAAAAATGTAAACTTTTGCTTTACTCGGATATTGTTCATTTAGCCACACAGTTACGGTCTAATACATGTTTGCTGGCTTAACAAGCTTAATTGTATCTGCACTCGTTTGTGTTACAAAATGAAATAAAAGATGTCTACCTTTTTTCCTATGTAATCTGTACGTTTTGAATCAAATTCTGGAAACTGCTAATGTAGCCATTTGTCTTGTTTGCTTATCTGTTTGAGTTGCCAAGCTGAACATCACAAAGTTCCAGATCTGTTAGGGCTTACAGATTAGATGTCAAGAATTAGTCTTCTTCTTCTTCTTTCTTTTTCTTTTGCCTTCTCGTTGATAACAGATGGTAGCTAGCCCTGTGTCATGCAAAGGTCCTTTACAAATTGGAACTGCTGGCTGTAATGCCGAGCACTTACGTGGTCCAGAATTAATTGGTTCAACGAAATGAATGGGCTGGCACATTTTTGCTTCATACATTTACATCCGCAGCGAGGCAGAGTTCCATCATTGACCTAGGGCTCCCAGGCCGATCCAGCCTAAAGCGTATCAGGAAATGTACCCGAGAAGACGACCGGTATGCAGATGACCCATCACCCCTACAGCGGCTATTAAACTATAACGTGAAAAACTAAAGGTCCATACCATTTACACGTCAAGCATGTATAGGTAGGTCCGTGCTTTGCTAACGAAAAGAAAAAGGGGAAAAAAGGAAAAGAAAAAATCGTTACGCTGAACCAGCAACCCCCGGGGGGGGGGGGGGGGGGGGGGCTTTATGTTATAATTGTGACTAGGTTATGCACACCACTAAGAGCCCTGGAAAGGGCTCCAGCATCGTTGATGCGATCAAAGAACAACTGTTTGACTAAACAGTGACTTCAGTTACTTAGGAAATAAGGTGTATGAATTTAGAAGGTAAAAAAAAAATTTAAATTCTGTCCCGACCGGCGACGAAGATGTCTACCGGCGAACCTATTTATGAGGCTGGACTCATATTTTTGGCCCTCGATGAGGTTGTGATCAAATGCACGCCTGCTGCCTTCACCTACCAGGACTTTACCTGGTACATATTTATGGCTGGGTACAATTAAAATCACTAAATGCCGGAGGCGCAGCCCGGTGAAAAAGTTCCTTAAATTTGTCTCTATAAACCGTCTTGTGCACAAGTGGCCAGGTAAGAGTGAAGGAAATAAGTTGTCCGGTCCATGAAAAAGAAACTTTAAGGAACAGTATATTATCCTGTCGTGCTGTTATAGGTCACATAGGACATTCAGTCTATTCCCCCATGCTGTTTTGCCCTCTGCAATCCTTCGATTTCATGAATGGAGTAAAATCCAGCAGCTTTGGCTTTACCCAGCAATGCCAAAAGTGCGTTCCCTGAAGAAAATACCCACATATTTAAAAATCAATGATACATAATACTCACTGAATATGTGATCAAATTTTACAAAGGAAGTTAAGTGTACAGAGAGAAATGTTAATAGTGGGCCGTGTGAAAACAAGGAATGATTTAACATGTAGGTTAAAAAATATGCGCACAGAGAATAATAATTCATTACAAAGGTCCGCATTAGAAAGTATAGTATCATTGGCACCTTTCCGTCTTTCCAGACGATAGTGTTATATTGCGGTATGAGGAGACATGAGACTCACAGCCCATGGCGAGTGTGACTAGCGAAACCCGCCCGTGTCAAGAAGTCTTCCACAATGATAGCGTGGGATTTCAGGACCATTGTTGTCAACATTTGTGTTTAATCCGTTTCTTTTCAGACTCTCAGCTCTCATCCTTTCTGCAGTAATTTCTTCCTTCAGTCTCATTTCCTTCCTGATATGCCCTTTCCACACAACACGGTCCTGAGCCATCCTCTCTCCAGTTTTGTCCTCCGCGAAGCCTTGAGTTCAGCCTCAAAGATTCTCCTCCAAGTGTCCTAGGCCTGCATCTTCCTTGCTGTCCTTGTTGTGTTCATTGCATTGCCTCTCTTGGTCGTATCTCTTTCTTCGTTCTGAAGACGTGTCCAGCCTACCTCTGTCTTCGTTTTTTTTTTTTTTTTTTAAATTTTACATCTTCTGAGTCTGTCATTTGTTGTAATCTAGAATTGCTGATTTTATCTTCTCACGTGAACCACAACAATCTACTGAGAAGTCTTCCCTCAAAACCTCTGAGCGTGCTCTCTATCTTTCTGTTTTCCAAGTTCCTGCTCCATAGAGGGAAACTGTCATAACGCATGTTTTGTATATCCTTATTTTAGTTTTAGTGCTGTTGATGTTTGATCTCCAGACACCTTGAAGTGTGTTGTAAGCAGCATTTGCCTTTGCAATTCGACGAAGATTCATTCAACAAGGTAAAAAATAACTCATTTGGCGATACTTACTTCGCGATTATGGATACACATATCTCTAGACAACAATGCAGGCTGGAATAGGTAGCAGAAATATGAAATGTAAAAGGCATGACTCCTCAGCATTATGAGGACTGTGAAAGTCTAAGAAACTCATTCTTAGAACCAGCGTATTTCATTCTAACGTCAAATAGCTACTGCTGTATGAAACTGAAACATAGCCTTTTCTCATTTTAATATTCTTTTCTAAACGAATTAGAAAAATAAAAATCAAGTTTAGCCCTACAATTCACACGTGCAAAAAATATCAACTGTCCATTTCTCATTCAAAATTACCTGTCGACGAGGTGTTTTTAGGTTTCAGTTCCCAAACTACCCAGTTTGTATATTAAAAAAAAAAAGTAAAGGATCCTGTTCCACGCCCTCAGGCTGATTTGGCATATACAGCTAGACCTATATTCTGTCCCATTTGTTGGGGAGACATAAGTAATGGTGATATCCAAGAAAAGAATTGTGTCTAAATATATAATACAAGTCAAAGGCGTTAGTTTAGGACACGTGCAGAAGTGTAAATATCTGGGCACATGGATAACATCCGACAGAAAATGTATCACAGAGATAAATAACTGAAAAGAAAGAACAGACACAACTGTAGTTTATAAAATGAATAAGATTGTGTGAAATGAATCCATGTCATTTGAGGTTAGAAAAAAAGGATTATTGCATGCTACATGGAGCCAGTTTTAACATTTGGCGGTGTATCCTGGACAATCAATAAACAAACAAAACACAAAGACCGGTTTCATTCTATTTATCTTCATTCATCTAAAGTGTATCAATTGTTTATTGAATATAAAAAGCACTAAGATGTTATATCACCCTACATGGCGATTCTAGGCAGCGACTGCTCTTCCTGACAAAGTTCAATCACGTGAAATGAATTAGTTAGAAATGTACATTCAAACCGCCTGCGTGTGTTATCGGGACCAATAAGTGAATGAGAAATGATATTAGCGACATTATAAAGTACTATGCATGTCGTAAGAGGTGAAAAAGGAAAGTGGACGTGACATTGGCTACCCCACCCTGTAAAAATCTGTAGCTATCAAGTTCAGCTAATATTGAGAGCTTATGCTTCACTGGGACATTGGAAAAAGAAAAAGAGGAACGGAACAGTAGTGGTCGTAGTATTAACAGTAGTGGCAGTAGTAGTGGTGGTAGAATAATAATAATAGTAATAAAAATAATAATAATAATAATAATAATAATAATAATAATAATAATAATAATAATAATAATAATAATAAGAAGAAGAAGAAGAAGAAGAAGAAGAAGAAGAAGAAGAAGAGTAAGAAGAAGAAGATACGAATTTTAATAATACTCAATGTAATTTGAAAGGCTAAAGACAGAATATATTCAATGTATCTTCTTCCTCTTCTTCTTCTCTTCCACCTTCTACCTCAGTGAAGTGTCGGGGGAAAAGGGTTGGGGGGGGGGGGGGGGGGGAGGGGGAGTGTAACGTTCGTTGATGAGCTCTGTCAGGAGCACTATAAAGACTGATGTTCATTTCTGTAAGGCTGTTCTTAATGCCATCACTCCATATTTTCCGAGGTCTTCCACTCGCTCTATACCCGCTGTAACGTTTCAGTGTGGCTCTCTGTAATAGAGAGTACCAGGGCATTCTTGTTAGGTGTCCCAAAAAAAAAAAAAATCATTTGTTGTCCTTTGATAACCTGTAAGACTGGCTTTATTTAAAGCTATCGTCTGATTTCATGATTTCGTATTCTGTCTTTCCTCGAAACTCCCGCAGCTCTTCTAAAGCATTTTATCTCTGATATCACAATTTTACGTTCATTAGAGGATGTAAGTGTCCACGTTTGGCACTGACAGCAGTGTTGGCTAAAAAAAATAGTTCTGATAAGTTTCACTTTAGTACTACGGGGTATCAAACAGGTGTCTTGTTAACCAGCACAGAACGGGCATAAAGAGTCGTTTTACTCTTGTAGAGCTACTGAGGACGAGATCAGGGCATCTATGGATCTAGTTAGTTAGTCAACAGATTATCCTCATTGCACGTCGAACCACTTAGTGCATAAGTGCTCAAATCCCCTCCACAGTAAATCCCGCAGCGTGTAGTAGCTAACGACACCAGTTCTGTGTTGGTTTATTCTTCTTCTTTGGCTACCCACTTAGTTTTCTTGTTCGGCAACACCTCGTTTAACTTTTTGTTTGTTCTTGCAGTGTGACCATGGTTGCAGATTCACAGTTCTCAGTTGGTTCACGCAAACATCTTAACTCTCTTAGAGCATTCAGTATATCAGCCTGGTCCATTTCTTGTCCGGCTTTCACAGTAGCCTTACCTGCAAACGTATCAGCTTGCTCATTTCCTTGTACCCTCACATGTCCTCGCACGAAAATAAAACTAATCCTGATCAGCCGTGAATTTTGTAGAGCCGCCAACCACTGCCTTCGGACCCAGCCCTTCTCTATCTTCCTGACCATACTCATCGAGTCACTGAGAAATCATGCCCCACTGAAAGTCTGTGAATCTAGCCATGTTACTGCTTTAGTCACAGCCATGACCTCCATAGACTACTCGTAGTTACGGCAAAAGCTCCAGAATCTTCCTTCACAACTCTCCCTCCAACCTGAGCCGTGAAAGCTCACGAGCTTCTAATATTGCGGATTACAGACCCAAAACTGTGTTAATGACAGCATCACACTCTAGAGAATTCTCGAAAATCAAGGCTTGAACTTCTGCTTCCCCAGCAGCCGGACTCAGTTGTCTGCATTTTCTGTCTAGTTGAATACAAACATAAAAAGTTGTACAGCACTCTGAAGGTACCTGCACCCACTCCTCGCCGGGTTTTATGTCCTCAAGTGAACATACCTGTAAAATAATGTCCTCGGCTTGACCCATCCACGATTTCCCACTTTTTTCTTCCTAATTTGACTATGTACTATATGTTGCGTGTCTGCCTTGACTGTGAGGTAGGCACGTGCTCGGGAAATTTGTATTCTGGCTTCCATGGCTGGAAAATCGAGAAGGTAGCGCATCGCCTTACATGCTGCATCTCTTGTACTTCTAAGTATAATGCGCATGGTCTCGTTTTGTACTTCTTTTATCCTTTCTGTCAGATATGGCTGACAGTCAGGATCGCCATCGCGTATTCAAAAACAGAAAGGACCAGACCCTGGTACAGAAGACAGATGACGCTGCTCACAGTTTGCCGCCGCCATTACTCTCATCGCAGCCAGACCCTGCTTGGCTTTCATTATAATCTGATTTATGTGCTCAGTAGGCCCGTCTCTCTAGCGTAGTTGGCTAAACCGGATTGCGCGGTGAGCGGGTGACGAACTCCTTGTGGTCCGGGTTCACTCCCGGGGATGGGCAGACAAGCCACATTTCTCCCAGATTTAGGGTATTTAAAATGGAATTCAAGGCCGAAAGGTTGCGATATCCATAATACCGAGCCTAAGGGTTAACAATTCATGGCTTCTGGATACTAAAACAAACAAACAACAACATGTGCTCAGTAGAAGCAAGGCTTCGATCAAACTGTATCCCCAGGTATTTCATTGCATGTGTTCTTTCTGTGGATCTGTCCGGTTTGATGCGACGATAGGTTTTGCTATTCACTAATTAAGTTGTCAGTCATGAATTAATGAATCAATCAATGAAGAATTGATATTACTGCACTCTGGACTTTCCCACACGTGCCCCGTCCCCTTCTTCAGTAGCCAAAGAAGAGTCAACATACTAAAAGGGCCAGTTGCAACCTGATTAAAAGGCCGACTATGTTTTCCCCCTCGGTTTTGTCTAGTGTGCTGCTGATGTATACTTCTCACTACTTATCTTCTGTTAACTACTTGATCATGGTTGACATTTATTAATTTCTAGGTGTTATACAATATCGGTAATTTTATTTATTTTTTACTCTGACGCACGTTTAGAAAATATGGGACAGAAAACCTGAGTTTTGACAACGATTGTGGTGTGTTAACTAAGATACCCTGTACCCGTGCACTTGTCTTGGCCTAGAAGCTACCAATTGAACTCCTGCTATCAGTAAAGTGAAAGTACCTCAACTCGGTCAGATACCTAATCAGTGCACGTAATTATATGCAAGCGATCACATGTAGGCTTGAAGTTCAACAATGTACATTAACTATTGCTAAATAACTTTAACCTTTGGGGCTCTGACAGGGAAATGTCACTTTTCTTGTAAATATATGTACAAATATCCACCTATCTTAACTTGACCCTATACGTCAATTGTTCAGACGTAGCAATGAAGATAACTGTGGCCTAGATTGCGAGCAAAGTCAAGATTCACTGGCTGAATCTTCTTGTCATTAGTTAAAACTTATAATTTCAGACATCTGGCAAATCCGAAGATGGGAAATCTCATTTGTCCGAAATTGTTGTGTGGTTTCTTTGTGTTCCTTGCATTGGTGTGTTTAACAAAACAGCAAGATGAAGGTAAGTACAACACCAACGAATCATTAAAATGTTGGTAGACAATAACAGGCGGAGATGGTGGGTTTCATTTTAATATACAGGGATGAGATTTGTAACTGTCCCGTGTGTGTTCCGGGGTCCCATTGTGAAGAAAACAAGAATAGATCCGCTGCCCCCCCCCCCCTTTCTACCCCCCACGGGCCCAAACAAGCATGTCGTAGGAGTCGACTATTTGGGGGCATCCTTCGAAGTCGGAGTGCATCTGCCTAAGAAGCAAGGGGCCAACAGTCTGCATATACATGAGTTAGATTTGTGAAACGGATGTGCACCTTACACTGAGGCTCTGGAACAAAACTTAAGTCCAAAGGTTGACGAACCTCTAAAATTTTCCGCTGGAGTTACAGCCGGTGAACGCGAAGAAAAATAATAAGATCATCCTAACTAAAGTCACAGAAACCTCTAGGTAACTTGCAGCATGCGTTTTCGATGTAAATATTTGAAAGGCCATCCTTGTGGCTTTCAGATTATAACACGAGAGTCACACGGTGGAAGACATTGCTGCATCGTCAACTAACACTCACACAATCAGCTGTGGATGGACATATCCCTTACAGACAACTTCGACTGTGGAGCTGGCGTCCAGACAATTTCTTTTAGCATTCTGATCAAGATGTGCAGTTCTTCGTTACAGCGGCGTTTACAAATCGTGGTATAGAACTGCCTCTTTTACAGAACTTCGCTGTCACCAAAGGCCTGCTGATATACCTCCAGTCTCTCTCTCTCTCTCTTACGTATGTATGTATGTATGTGTGTATGTATGTAAGTATGTATGTATGTGTGTGCATGTTCGTGTGTATGTGGATGTATGTGTGTACTGGGTGCCTATGTGTTTGTGTGTAAGTGAGTGATTGGGCTTGTGTGTGTATGTGGGTGTGTGTGTTCGCGCGTGAGCGTGCGCACATATTTTACCACCCATGCTTTTGTTTTTGACTTCATATCCATAATATGCATATCATTACATGAATATAACATGCTTCATTGATGAAATACAACTGATGAGTGAAAGATGGAAGTTTGGAAGGGCCGAATGTAAGACAGGCCTGCGTGCCTAATTTGTAACCCTTTGAAAATATAGTTCGTTCGTTCGTTCGTTCGTTCTCTCTCTCTCTCTCTCTCTCTCTCTCTCTCTCTCTCTCTCTCTCTCTCTCTCTCTGTGTGTGTGTGTGTGTGTGTGTGTGCGTGTATTATTATATTTATAAATAATAACAATCCCCCACCCCTTTTTTTTTTCCACCCTCCCGAAGATCATCGTATATAGACGATATTTCTTTCGAAATACTATCATGTAAACATAATGCTTTTTTCGAAAACGATTATTAAACACAAATAATCTTATTCTTCAACGATATTCTATACAGACATTTTTATTCCAGGATAGTATAACGAACGAACATGACTAATTCTAAAATGTCAATCTCTTTTGTTCCAGGGTTTGTTTCCAACGTGTTCCAGTTTTTTAGCGACAAGGTTAACAATCGGCTGATGGAACATATCACCATGAGACATAACGTGGAACTGGCATACAAAGCATATGTAGGTAAAAACACTGACGCTATGTAATAAACCAGTCTAATAATTTTTTAAACCTTCAGTATCATGCACCCCCGTGTGGGTTCCGAGGCGCCCATTGTGGGGAAAACAAGAATAGACCCATTGCCTCCCCAAAAGCATGTCGTAAGAGTCGACTAATTGGGGAGCTTCCTGGTGAACGCGAAGAAGTATCATGCATAAAAAGCAGTTTTTATAAGTTTTTTTTTTTTTAATGCTTATTTTCGTATGTGGATTTTTATGATTCGAAGTTGATCCAGTTTAAAATTGATACGTGTACATGTTCTGTGAAGCGGACTGATTATATTTTTTCTAGTGACCATTTAGAAATAAAAAAAAGAAGGGGGGGGGGGGCATGCCTGATACATACTTTACCTAAAAGAAGCTGTTTATTTATCATGCTAAGAATCCTGATTGTAATTCCAACGCAATCGAAACCCACTGTTGGTTGCGTGGATTTTTTTTTTATCATGGTGTGGGGCGTCGCAGATTGACCAAGCCTAAAATGGGTACCAGGATGTATGGCCGGTGTGATGCTGACCACATCACCCACCTAGTGCCGATTGGTCTGTAAAAATATGAGTAATCTTCTCATATGTCCGATTCGCCTAAAGGCGTGAGAGGTAATCTTTACTTTTACTTAACTTTTAAAGTATCCTGATGAAACTAAGTCAGATGCGTCTAACATGCAGGGGAAGATTGTGCCTGTCTGCCTAGCCATCAGAGTACCTGATTAGCCTGCATCTAAAGAGCACAGCCCCTGGTGATCGGGAAGCTCAACATACAGATGAGGGAAACAAGTTTACGATCCATTGCTTGATGGACATCATTGGCCACTGCCATTCCGTGTCGAAGAAAGTCTTTAATGTCAACTTTTCTTAGGGCAACCTCTTGGTGTCAAATTAGGTCTTTTGACACGTAATACCTGTGTTGGTAGTAGTAATATATATATATATATATATATATATATATATATATATATATATATATATATATATATATATATATATATATATATATATATATATAAACATAACATACACGTCTCCATGGCCAATTGGGAACGCACATATAAGTGTTTGCATACACATACACATGTATACACACACACCTGCGTGTATACCAATCTGGGAATACATGTATACGTGCTTGCATACACAAAATATGTATATGTATATACACACATACACTTTTGGAACTGCCGTGGTGTAGCGGCTGGACGCTCGCCTGTGGACAGGAAGACCATGGGTTCAGATCACGACAGAGTCAAATTTAAAAAAAAAATTATAAATGATCCTAGTTCTCAGCTCGACCCAACCTTAAATGAGAACTAGTGTTGTGTATGATATACCATTTAGTTTTGCTCATTTCGTATTATTTGCGCCTTGGTTAATAACTTAGGTCTTTTGATTTGTATATGTGACACCTTCTCGATATCCACTACTATCAAGGGATGGGGGAAACATGACAAGAGGAAAGTAGAGCTTACTAGGCAACTAGGCTGAGCTTGACCATGGGAGACAATCGCCGCCACCAGGGCACTTGCATGAGCAGCAGGACAAACAACACCACACGCGGTGATCACAGCAGACTCCATACACATGCTTCAGACTATCTAATTGGTATCCTTCCCTCTGAATGGATAGGCCACATTCAGAAATCACACTTAATATTCTTCATCTGGATTTATACTCCTGGAAATGCTGGACTAACAGGTAATTACCCAACGGACCATTTGGAATCGGAAAGAGGCGTGAAGAGAGCTGTCAACGCTGTACGGACAATCTTTGATGCTAACATGACTACATTACCACAAGGTGAAGCACGCTGATGGCAACTTCAAGGTCAAGCAAAAGCATTGTAAGCAAGTTTCCTTGGGAACAGTCAGTAGAAATACCTTGGTGTGGCTGCTGTGTCGTATGGTAATGACCACTGTACAGTGACATCGATTATGATAACAGAAAAAAAGAAGGCTAGTTCGCTACCGACCACATCCTTCATTGAATGTAGATCGGCTAAAAATCGGGTGCCAGAATCATGACTCCAGTTTACCTAAAAACATGAAAAAGATGACTTTTCCTTTCTTACTTAATACCTTTCAGCTCATACCTCGCCATGATACAACCCGTAAACTGTATTTCTTTACAGGTGGCTTACTTCGACAGAGCAGACGTGGACCTCCCGGGCTTCAAGAAATTATTTCAGCAACTGGAGAAAGATGCACACGACAGGGCATTATCCCTGACATCATACATTAACAGCCGAGGTGGACGTGTACGATTTCCTGTAGTGAAAGTAAGTGCTCAAATAATGTTGAATTCAGAATGGACATCATAGCACTCGGGACACTGTCATAAGCAGCAACCCAAGAGTTTCAGTTCCGATTTTACCAGTAACAGTCTCGCCTTTCCGTTGAGTGTTCAATCGGCCAGATTTCCCGTTAACTCCTCGCAGCGCTATTCCCCACAGACCGTAATGACCTGTTAGTGAGTTCGCACTGCTCATTCGCTTCCAAAGAACCCTCACAACGTCCAGCTTGTCACACATCAATTTACCACCAAGTGGTTTAGAACCACCTAATCTATCTCCTGCTTGTTTCCTAACATACCAGCATAATCTAGATAAAATAACCAAAGGACGCTAACTACCCAGGACCTCTAAAGCTTTACATGTCACTCTGCACGGCCGCCTTTCTCAACAGGCTCTGTAAGTTAGTTAACTTCATGTGTGTACAGCTGATTCTCAATACTGCAGAAATATTGTATAAGTTCGTGACTAGTACCGGTCCCTTTACACGCCAGTGACGAATAGTGTATTTTTAGAGACTATCAGCGATGGGTGATGTGGTCAAGATGACGTAGACCGCCTTCACCTGGTACTCATTTCAGACTGGGTCGACCTGGGAGTCAAGGTCAAGTTTGGAAAACATCCGTGCGAATTTGAGCCTACGACCTTCGGATTCGCAGGCGAGCTTCTAGCCGCTACACCACTGCGGCTTCCCATATATCTGTGACTGCTTTTCTTCTTCTTCATAAATTTTGCTGGATATGTGCGGTTTTCCGTGGTGCAAGGAAGAGTTTATTTATTTTATATGCTCGGGACTGCTTTATATATGTTGACATGATGATGATGATAGCTGGATGAAAGTAACTTGCGCAAGGACTTGGATTAAAGTGAGTAAGAGTTGCGCAATTCGTCGACCTCACTCTCTCTCCTGTGTCTATCTTGATCTAATTGGCAGGCCATTGTCGAGACGATTGGAAATGGACCTAGGTGCAGTGAGTGTCCTGCCTTGCTCGAAGCTCTCCACAGAGTCTGCTGGTGAACTCCTTCTTGTCCGTTGAACCTATAAGAGGTTTCATCCGCACAATCAGCCGTCCAGTCTTTGCATGCAGAGTAGGCATATCCCAATCACCGAGTGGTTTAGAACCAGGTCGGCTACCCTCTCCTGGTTTAGCCAGCAGGTTAAAGCTGTTGCTTTACACACACACACACACACACACACACACACACACACATATATATATAAATAATAAATGTATGTGTGTGTGTCACTTTGTGTAAAATATAGTGTACTGGAGATGACTAAAAAGCTAACGTGGCCAAAACTGGATGTCTCGTACACTGTTTAATGGTCGTGCAAAGAAAACGAGACCAGCACAATTCAGGGAATCGGGTGTATATAAGGGTAATCTGACATCTTTGCACCCTTGTATATTCCCTTGTGTGTGTATATGTGTGTGTGTGTGGAGATATTTATATGTGTATATATGTGCGTGTGTGTCTGAGTGTGTGTGTGTGTGTGTGTGTGCACGCGCGCGCACGCAGATTTATGCACCGGAGTCATTGTGTCCGACTTCAGAGCATTTGAAATGAAACACATTACCACACACACTATATTTACATGCATACACACACACCGACTTATGTACATGGTTTACTTTCTATTCCAGCTGAGCGAGGCCTGCAAGTACATTCATCAATACACAGATAAGCGAAAGTCAGAAGAGAAAACACAGCCATGTGTGAGTACACACAGTTTGCCAGATGATTTATATATTGTCTTCTCTACATATAATACACCCACATTTTATATTCAGACCATCAGTTAGTCAGGAAATATTGACATAGACTGAAGTCACAGCATATTCAATATAATACACATGCAAAAAATGCATAAGGCAGCCACTCTAAGTGCTAAAACACAAACAGTTTGACACTAAAAGTGCAGTTTATCATTGATGGAAGCAGCAGTTGAGCAGACCAATAGTTGCGAAGGCGATTAATCACATAAGGCATCACCAGTTATTTCTATGGCAATGGGCCACTAGCCATTTTCTGAATCTACAGTCAAAAAACATTTCACCAAATGATATCTGCAGCTCACAGTGTTGCACCATGCACCCAACTCAGTAGCTGGGCAACGAAAGTATATCCTTTCAGTATACACATAGAGAAAAATGCAACTTGCCACGACTTAGAACAGTAAACTTGCATATCCTTCATATTAACCGAAACTTTACAATATTACCTACCACCTCTGTGATGGTTCTGTGACTATTTTGGAGAGGAGAAAGATAGACCTACTGCCTTGTTAACAAGCATGTCGTAAACGACAACTTATTAGGGTATTCTGAAATCGGATGCGTTGGGCCGACAGGCGCACACATCGTACCCTATCTGTAAATCACAACACAAAGTGCCAACCGCAGTTTGAGGGTGAACCCAGAAGTAGAAAACATGACAGGCACAACTGACTTCTTACACTTTCACAACTTTTTGTCCTCATGATTCATCATTACACGAAAATGTTCGGGACCTCTTCGCTATATAGGAACATTCTTGTAATCCATCCATGTGACGTTGGTAGTCATTTCTGCCCATAGCCTTTTAGTCCGTGTACTTGGAAATATTTTTAACATATATGATCTCCTATGCCATAATGTACATTTTCCAAGATCGTTTCTCAAGTATTTTAAAAATTTGGTTTGTGAGAAGACTAATGAGCAGCGGTTGCAAACTGTTAACTCCACTTGTCTGCAAAGACAATGGTCCTGTACAGTCCGTACAAGTGGCCAGAATCCCCTAGCCCCCCATCTCTTTCTAATCGATTCGGCTTTAAGGGTCACTATGTTCACAAAAACTGGTATCAGATCTTTTCCAGAATTTTCTGATACATGTCCTGGAAGGAAATGGCTATGTACATGGTAATCTGCCGCTCCACTTCAAATACATAGTGGTCTATAATATGTCAAGGCCTAACACTTCATTTCCAGCTGCCGCATCTGCTTTTGGATGACTTTCACACACACACATGTACATGTATGTATACAGATTAATGGTACCTATAATGGAATCAATGCCGAAGGGTTGCGATATCCATAGTACCGAGCCAAAGGGTTTACAACTCATGGTTTCTGGATACGTTAAAAAAAATATATATACATACACACACACGTTTACATAAAAGTGCAATAATAGTTGTTTGAAGTCACTGCTGCTTTGAGAAGTCACATCTCTCAGCGAGTGCTGATTGTTCTATAAACATTAAAAGTTTAGCACCATAAACCCAGTCGTCCAATAGTATGAAAAAGGTCCTTAGCGAAAGAAAAATAATTATCTTCATAAGTCATTTAATCTTCATCTATACTGTACGACTGCACGAGATAGGATGGACTTTGTTGACTTTCTACCCCACCAGGGACGCTTACAGACGACGGTTACCCGTGCACGATGTAAACCATGTAGGTGACGTTTACCGTGAGAGGTCCCAGAAACCGCGTTCAGCCTTTAGGCCATATTTATGGCCAGGCTTATTGCAAAAGTGAGTAGGGCTTCAAATAACGAAAAATTTCGTCCTAAAGAGGACGAGAAACGCATTGGGTGGACTTTGTTTTTCCTGTTCCAGTGTACGATGTAAGCAGTAGACGTTCTGTGAATGACAACTAGAGATTCTTTCAAAAGTGAGAACATTCAGCAAATGCAGACAACAAATTCCTTGACAAGTTCGAGCATTCAGTGAATGTTGACTAGAGATTCCTTAACAAGGTCAGACAGTCGATAAATGTAGACCAGAGATTCTTTGACATGTTCGAACATTAGGATAACGTAGACTAGGGGATTCTTAGACTAGTTCAAACACTTGTAAAACGTTGAGATGTGGAAAGCAAGGGGAGACTACCGCATTATATATATCCTTAGAAACTCAACATGAAAGCCGAAAAAGTATCTCAAAGATCCGATGGTGAGATCCTCAGGCCAGGCAGGTCATTATGAAGAAATAGAAAATGTCACAGATTTGGACTACTTGGGCTCTTGGAAATTGCTCAAAGAAGTCAGAAGACGTGAATTAGCAGAGATTAATTAGCATGAAGTTCCTATGGGAAAGCACCTGTAAACTGGTTAATGTAAAAGTCTTGAAAAGGTATGTTTTCCTGCGGCAAATTACAGTTGTGAGTCCTGGACTCACACTCAGTCACTGAAAAAAAAATGGGGAGCTGTTGAATTAAAATGTTGCAGACAAAGAATATGATGGATTAAGAAAACGAAAAACATCGACAGTCTACACGAGTGAAAAATCAAAAAGAACTAGCTCATAGAAGTATTCTGGCCCTATCAAGCGTCATGGTGGCTTGGAAAAGACGATGTTAGAGGATGCAGTGTGTGGAGAGCGAGGCAGTGGTCGATCTTCTGTGAGGGTGGATACAGGACACTAAAGATGCATTGGCATTGAAAGCACATGGGGCTGGAGAGCTGGCTTGGGAAAGGGATACTTTTATCAGGCGTGCCGTGAGGAGAGCGACGTTCTGTAAAGGACTTGCTGATTGATGATAATGAAACTAGATATTCAGCAAGTTCGAACATTCAGTGAATGTAGACTAAAGAATCTTTACAAGCTAAAACACAAGCAGATCAGAGTTTATTTTATCGATAAATAGAAATCTATTGACGTAGACTTGTCTTGTTTAAAATACTGTGATATACTTAACAACATAAATGATTGCCTTTCTGTTTCAGATCTGTTACTTTCAGTTTCAAGACTCAACAAACAAAGTAAACATTGATGATTACTGTGAGGAAAACGTAAGATTAAAAAAAAAAATTGTATGTGTTGTGATATGGCATTTTTTTTTTATTTGAAATCAGTGTCACTCATTTTTAACAGTCTAAAAGTTACTAATCTATCTATATCCTCTTTATGACTCTAGTTTGAGAATAAAGATGGAGGCAGTCACTGCTGCCTTCAGCTGGCACAAGAATCAACTGTACGCACATGTCGTAATTGTTACCTACTCACAGAGTTTGTTGAGAAATGCGAAGACATGCTCCGTGCAAAGTGACAAGCATCGCTTCATAGGTCCAGGGTGGTTAGTGTCATTTGGATATTTCTCCAGGTATACTGGTGTGTTGAGAAACGAGTAGGCAGATAGACTTATGGGTTCTGCACCGCGTGGTGATAAATTGGCGTCGGACAAGCGAGATGTTGTAAGGGCCCCTTGGAAGCGAGTGAACAATGCGTAGACAAAACAGATCATTATGGAGAATCTGGCCGACGCTCAACACTCAAGGGAAAGGCGGGACGGATGTGCAGTCAGGCAGTTACTGATACCATCGGAATTTGAACCCTTGGCTCGCTTCTCTGAGACAGAGCGCTTATGGGAATGTCCCGAGTGCTGTTGTGTCAGTTCATGATTCAGCATGTCTCTGTTGACTGACATAAGGCCATCACAAATGATCATCGTAGATGCCGGTCTGCTGCTTTTTTGTTAATGATATCCCCCCATGTCACTATACATACCTTTATCTCCCTTTCTACTGTCCCTGTCCAGGTTTCCTTAGGTCGTCGACGTCTCCTTTTCCTATCTGCTGTCCGCATGATAGCTGATCTTGCCAAAATGTCACGACGTATTCTGCTAACATCAGCGCAGAACCAGTTTTAAATGACACCACATAGGCATCAAATCTGTTGGTTTGCCCACCTAATTTAGAGAGAATGACTTGTGCCACCATATCATACAAGGCATAGCTAGAAGAGAAGAAAGACATAGAACACGAAAGATAAGGAAAGCTAACATTAGAGAAACTCTCCAACAACACGATGTGTAAATTGTCGAGGCGGTGAGAAGTGCAAGAAGCAAAACCTTATATTTCCCTCGACACTCGAAGCAGTAAAAGGGGAGGAGGAGGAGGAGGAAGAAGAAGAAGAAGAAGAAGAAGAAGAAGAAGAAGAAGAAGAAGAAGAAGAAGAAGAAGAAGAAGAAGAAGAAGAAGAAGAAGAAGAAGAAGCAGAAGCAGAAGAAGAAAAAAGAAGACGAAATTATTATCAGTTAAGTCAAAATAGCAAATAAATACAATTGAAATAACATGAAGCCTGTTAACACATACTTAAAAACAGAACATCTATACATGGTTAAAGAAACCTTTTTGTTCATCTTTGAATTTTTCTTTTCTTTTTGCGGTGGGGAAAGGAGAGGGGGGTGGGGGTGGAATATGGACAATTAAACAGAGACTTTTACATTGTCCTAATCTTTATGTTAGCTAGTCGCTCTGCCTCCGGCTCCCAGTTCGAGCCAATCAAAAATGAAGACTGTGTGAAGTCATAGGAAGTAAAGGCGGTTTGGGTAATGTTGCCCATATCTGCCACCGAGTGACGATTAGTCTATAAAACATATCAGAGTAGCCCCATACGCCAGGTGCGTCAATGGCGTGAAAGGGGTGGTATTCACTTTTTAATTTCAAACAATTGCACGTTTGTTGCAGTGGAGACTACAGTCAGGTCTGCAGGGTGTTAAAGAGGCTTTGGCACTGGAGAGATCAGTCAACAACGACCTCATCATCCTGGTTGGTTTGGCCATCAGTCAGAATGACCCACATGTACGTGATTAGCAAGCAGTTGTATCATCATCGCCATTGTTATCATTGTCAGCATTATCATCGCCATCCTCACTATTACCACCATAATCAACACCGTTATTATAGTCGTCAGTATAATCATTATGATTACCTACAAAGCCGGAGTGCCACTGCCTGAATGGCAAGGAACAAGCAAATATGTCAGATCTGTAAAACGGATGTACACGCAACACTCAGATTCTGGAACAAGACTAAATTCCAGAGGTGGACAAACAATCAGAACTTTCCGCTTGAGTTTGCAGCCGGTGAAGGCGAAGAAGAAGAAGAAGAAGAATCATCATCTTGACTGTCATCACCAACTAGGGGCGCTACCACACAAAACATGTGGGTGGGGGGGGGGGGATTGGAGCTTAGACCTTTTATAATTTCCAACGGGCGGCGACTCATAAAGGTTAAGCCTCGTTTAAGTTGCAAATAATAATAATTACTACTATAACAGTTATATTATTACTAGCATGTGCTAAGTGGCAAAACTACACTAATATATTGGCAATAATACGCAATGTATAAACGCATACTTAAAAAAAAAAGACATATTCAGAGAGTGTTGCTTACAAGCTGGGGCTTCACGCCCCTAAAAGTTATTGAGGGGGGGGGGGGTGGCGGCTAAAGCCTCAGTCCTCTATAAGTTGTGTGGAAGGGGGTGAGTGTCGTTGAGATCCCAGGTTCGGAGGCTCGTTGAGATTCCAGGTTCGGAGGCCCGTTGAGATCCCAGGTTCGGAGGCCCGTTGAGATTCCAGTGTCCTCATTATTTATCACCAACAATGTCAACGCCATCATTGCCAGCATCACCGTCATAAAAAGCGGATAGGAAGCGGATAACCTGTGTCAGTGTCAAACGTGGAATGGCTTGTCCCCCCCTGTGTCGCAAACATCTAGCCAAGCATGTCCTTCATATTGTTATATTTGGTTGGGCTTACTAAATCTGGCTATTGTACTTATGTGACTTTTCTCAGGATTTAACAAAACCCCTTGAAAGAAAGTGTTATCAAATATTTTTTTTTTTACATTGACTGATGGTTCCCCCACCCCTCCTCGAAACTTTCTGGCGTCCTCCTCCTCTTGTCGAAAACCACTGTAGTCAAGCATAAAAGATGTAGTTGCTAGAATTCTTGATTGCTCACCGTTGGTCAAGTCATCAACAACCTTACTCGCACTAGACTGCATGTTATATCGGGCTAGTGTGGTTTAACAGGTGGCCCAATTATAACTGTCTTGGAAGTTGAAAAGGGTACCTGGGTGTTGCCCTTTTGGTCTGCCATCAAGACTGAGGTTATCTAATCTCAGGACGTCAGACCTTCAGGGGGATTCAAGGAAGGAAGGACGACCGGTGATCATAACTTTCAATTCCCATTAAGACTTCTTCTTTTCCTTCAGCTGTTCATCATCATGTAGCAGGTCCTTTACAGAACGTCGCTCTCAACACAGTCTGCCTGAAAGAAACTCGGTCTCTCGCCAGTTCTCCCGCCTCATGCACTTTCAAGGAGTCACTTTTATCCTGTGCCCATCTGCGTGTCGGTCGGCCCCTGCCCCTCCTTCCTGGTACCATGCCTTCTGCTATAATTTTTCCAATCCGTCGTGGCGCTTGACATGACCAAAATATTTCACTTTTCGAGAAAGGATGCTGTTTATTAGGCAATCTTTCGTGATGTTCGGAACTTTTAAGATGTCAATATTTCTCATCTTCTTTGTCCAAGATATTCTGGGAATCTTTCTATAGCATTTCAGCTCAAAAGCCCCTATTCTCTTTCTTACGGACTGAGAGATAGTCCACGACTCACATCCGTTTGTAGTCACAGGGAAGATGCATGCTCTCAAAATTCTAATTTTTATAATATGTAAACGAAGATGGGCACGTTTCTTCAGCTGTTACCTCATCAAAATATTGGGTTTTAAGACGGGGGGGGGGGGGGGGGGGGGGGGGAAAGGGGGAGAGAAGGGGTGTAAGGATCTTCTGTATGCTCTTTGTAATGCGCTGTATGTTCTTTTTATTTCTCTAAGGCTGTTCTTGATTCCACCATTCCAAATTTTGCCTAGTCTTCCTCTGCTCTGTGATCGTTATATTTGTTCAGCGTTGCTCTCTGTGGCTGTTAATACCCGTGTATTCTCGCCTGATGGCCAAACCAACTCGTCTATTACTCTATAATGAACTGCATAAGTGGTTTCAGTCCTAGTTTTCTTCTAAATTCTTCTAATCCATTCAGACGATTTTTTTTTTAATTGACCTAACCTAAGAGGTTTCGGGAAACACCCTTGGAACTAAAGGTAGTGGCGTGATATTGACTACGTCATCCCTATTTGTCCTTTCAAAAATGGTACTGGCATCATATGTCAAATGAACCTAAAAAAAATAGTGAAAATAAGTGCGCTGTTTGCTTTAGATCTCATATTATACACGCAAAAATATTATATCATAAATAAAAATAAATGTCTTTTGTATTTTACGTCCTCTCATTGAAAGAACAATAACCATAACCTAATGACAGCTTTGTTGTTGTTATTTCTTTCAGAGCAAGATCACTATTGAACATGTGATGGATCAGCAGATAGAAACCATCAAGAAACTGGCGGACCTCCTGGATAAACTTCAAGGATACCAGCAGGACCAGGAAGGTTACTCTCTCGGGGAGTACCTTGTGGATAATGAAATAAAGAAGTAGACTAACAGTTGTAATAGTCTGATCTACTTTTCAGTAAACAATCCTGAATGCTGAAACCAATAAACAGTACCTTTCTATAAATGTTTGTCAACATTATAATTACTCAAACTTTTTGCAACACCGTCCAGCATTTAAAAATGTGAGACCGATTTTGGCCAACACAAAAACATGTCACCAATGAAGCAAAGTACGGCATCGAAACAAACGCTTATCTGTGAAGAGGCAAAATTGCAACGCCGCCATGTCATCAGACAATAATAACCCGTTTAGTTAGTGAGAGATGAGTGGTTATGTATGCGGCACGGAGAGCGAACATTTTATTGTTTTAAACTCAGGAAAATAAAAAGTACAAGTGAAAACGTTAAACTGATGAGATAATTTTACGGCGATCAGTGTTTAAAAATGAAAGGTATACAAGATACTTAAGCAGTTAATACTTTGCATAGATCCAAATGATGATAAAGATATTGATGTGTTTATTCTGTGATGGCGCCGTGAACATACATCATACAATCAATGCTATTGATGAAGTTATTAAAACTTTAAACAAACAGCTACGGTTGCTTGTTCCGTTTCTTTTAGACGAACTTATTTAGTTTTTTTTTTTTTTTACATTAGGAGTTTTAACTTGCCAACTAAAACATGTTTGTTTATTGCTACTACTAATCTTGTTGGTTACCTACTGCTACAACTAATCCTATTGGCTAATGCTAATCCTGTTACCTACTGCTACAACTAATCCTGTTAGCTGCTGCTAATCCTGTTAGCTGCTGCTAATCCTGTTAGCTACTGCTACAACTAATCCTCTTGGCTACTGCTACAATCTGTTAGCTACTGCTACAACTAATCATGTTAGCTACTGCTACAACTATCCTGTTGGCATGTTCCTAGGCTACTGCTACAACTAATCTATGCTTATCATATCTATCATAGTTGGCTACCAACTAACTAATCCTGTTGACTACTGCTACTATTAATCCTGTTTGTTACTACTAGTTATTCCTGTTGGCTACTGCTACTCATGTTGGCAACTGTTACTGCTTATCCTGTTGGCTACTATTAATCCTATTATCTACTGCAAAATAATGCTAATCCTATTGACTATTGCTACTACCAGTCCTGTTTGCTACTGCTAATACTAATATATTGGCTATTGCTACTACCAATCCTGTTGGCTTACTGTTACTCAGGGGTGCTGAAACTTAGGGGCTTAGGTACCTTCAGCCCCTTCTCCTTAACAAATTATGGTATGGGGGGATGAGAGGGGGGGGATGGAAACTCTGCGCTCCTCAACCATGCCCATGCCCCTTGAGTACCCCCCCCCCCCCCTAATTTGTAAGGCGGCTGAGGACCCCCAAGTTTTTCTCTGTGTCGGCGCCTCAACAGCTCATACTTCTACTACTAAAACTGTCATATCACATCATTACGATTCATAAACACAGACAGCGAATAAAATACATTTATTAAATGGTTGGTACCTGTGAAGAATATAAGGAATAAAATAGGACCCCTGAAAAACAAGAGTGAGAAAACTAAACAAATTGTGAATCAAGTACTGAGAAGAAGGTGCTGGTTCAGATACATGCTAAGAAACCCTGTTAACAGTACGTCCATTCACTGGAACCAACAAGGTGAAAGAAAGACTTGTAAAAATCTTACTGATAACACATTTGGGGCATTGTTAAATAATGAGGCGGGGATGGGGGGGGGGGGGGCCATAAAGGCAGTTAAAGAAGATGACAAATGAAGGGACAAATAGGTATGTGTTGGTTATGTGGCTTTGCTCTATCATTGGATAAAGGACAGGAAGAGTATAGAAGTAAAAGCAACTGAGGTATATATTTGTTATAAACCACTTTTCATAGATATTTGTTGTTGACAATTTGAATCAGTTTTTTGTCTTCCTCTTCTGCATTCATCCTTACAAGGGTGGTTGGCCATTGTGCTGTGGTATACAACTAGGTGGTCCTATATCTGCCTCTTTTGGTCTCACACATCCGACTTCAGCAAACTCTTAATTGGTTCGTTTTTATGACATGCCTGTCGGTCCAGTTCATGTTTCCTTGCCCATCTACACACTGGCTGACATTTCATTCATACTTTCTCAGACTCTTCTATGTTGGAGGGGTGTCACGTTGTCTTGTCTCCAATTACATCAGCGCCGATGTCATGTGTTCTATACTACACGACGACACAGCTTTCAACGAACCCAGAACATCTAAAACTGGCCCTAGCCTCCCTACCCACAGCCTGAGCCTAGGTCATACAAGAGACTCTTTTTGAAGAAAGCAGTAAAAGGTGACACCCTTCTGACCTAGATCAGACTGAGAAAGTGTGTAGATGGGCCGGGAAACGTGAACAGGTCCTGCCTGTCTACATTCACCCCACCCCAATGCATTCACAGAACCCTCACAAGGATAATCAGTATTTTAAAAGCCTAGAAGCTATAGAAACAGAAAGAAAATAATAATGAGAAGAAGAATAAGAAAAAGGATCAGTACTTAAAAAGACTGACAGCAATAGCGGCTAACATGCATTCCAGAACCCTTTTTGAATGAACTATTTTTTTCCTCTGACCTGGGCTTCTAGGTTAACTCGACCTGAAATGGGAAGTAAAGATAAGTGGTCTGATTTTGACTCCTTGCGTGCTGTTTGGTCTAAACGTTGGTGCAAGATGCATCACAATTTATGGCCTGAAAAATCAAAATATTTTTTTACTTCTATTTTAGATGACTACATAGATCAAGAGCCACTCAGCCACATTTAGAAGATAATAAAAAAAAAAAAATTAATAAATAAAAAAGCAGGAAGTAGTCAGAGAGATAAATGGATTATTTAATATATTTAATTATTTATTAAAAAAAAAAACTGAATCTAAAATCTGAGAATACACCAATCTGTTTATTCATTAACAGCAGCTCTCTAACTTGTATTCTCGTGTGATATATCATTTAAACAAAACATTAAATCAGAATAATGAATGGGAAACAGTAGGCCTGCTCAGTGATGCAGACCGTGAAGGACTGTCAGCATACAAACACTGAAACATCAGACAGTGAAGGACTGTCAGCATACAAACACTGAAACATCAGACAGCGAAGGACTGTCAGCATACAAACACTGAAACATCAGTCAGTGAAGGACTGTCAGCATACAAACACTGAAACATCAGACAGTGAATGACAGTCAGTTAGTTCAACAGCAAACTAAACACGGATACACCAAAAAGTGAATGATTGTGAGTGTTCATTAATAAACTTATCACTGAAACATGAGACAGTGAATGACTGAGTTCACTAGCAAAACTAAACACTGATAAAGCAGACAGTGAATGACTGTCAATTCACTAATAAACTAAACATGAATATACCAGAAATCTGCCACTTTTTATCAGTTAGCAATATCCTTTGAAGACAAAGTACGTTTGCCTGAGAGGCAAGGAACCAATAGACTGCACATAAATAAGCCACATCTCTAAAATGGATGTACCTACAACACTGAAGTCCTGGGGGGAAAAAAAAAGCAAAAAGTCTATAAGTGGGTGAACAACCAGGACTTTCCCTCTGGAGTTTACAGCCAGTGAACACAAACACAACAAACAGTCAGCACCAAAACCGTATCTATTTTTCTGTTCACAAATTTAGTTATTACATGACCCTCAATGGCTTCTATGAATGTTGGTGTAAATTCATTTAGCCACTGTTTTCAATGTGAAAATGTATGGTTTTTAATATTCAGCTTCTTAAAGCCAGTCCTGTATAACTACAGCAACATATGTTCCATAATTTTAACAGAAAATTTATTTCCTTATACTTTTCATTAATGATAACTTTATCATAGCATGAAATTCAGAATCATACAGTATGACAAGTTGTGATCTCTCTCTCTCTCTCTTTCTCTCTCTCTCTCTCTGAGAAATAAATGGAAACATATTTTTAAATAGCTTCATTAGGAGAACAAAATTAATGCCCATTTAATGGACTTGCAAGACCACCAGTGAACTTGATAGCATGCAAAATCTTATTTAACTATTCAGTGTAAGCTTTCAGTTAAAAGAGCCTCTGATTAACTATTTATATGTGAATATATCCATAATGTAGAGGCCGAGAATAAAACACTAGATACAGCAAAGCTATTTGAATAGAACATAAGACAGCCCCTAAAATAGATGCTGGGCTGCATACATATATTATATACAACACACTACACAGTCTCAAAGTACAATTCTAGAGCATACAGTAAATAGCTGAAAAAGTGCAGTCATAGTTAGACTATGTCAACTGTGCATGCCAACACAATGTTTGAAAAAAACATTTAGACAAGATTCTTCTTCTGAATGGGTTGGACCATAGGATGTCAATACTGACAACAAGTAACAAGAGTCTTTACAACCTGAGGCAGATCTTAATGGGGTCATATAAATCAAATATGAAGATCTATTTAATTTCCGCCTTTCCAAAAGATGGCTTCATATTAAAGGTATTGTTCTTGTGTTGCAAACAGATTTTTAAACACACAAGAACAAATGTGTTTGTATGTGTTGCCTGTCTATGAATATAATTTGAAGAAAACTCATATGCTTGTGTGTGCTGCCTCTTTCAGAATATAATCAGAAGAAAACAAAACCCTGCAATGTTGAATAGTTGACAGAAACACACATTCCAGAATGTATGCAAATAAATGAATGCCTCTGGCATATCATTTAACTGTAACAGTAATGAATATCAAATAAGAAGTGTAACTATAAATGAGCTCTTAGCAGATCCTGAGGCTATTCAGACAAGCAATGTTTGCAATTAAGACTGACACGAACTACCTTTATTAAGTGGATCACAAATATAATTTATCAAGCAGATTAACTGATGAGACATTTAATAAAAGACAATTTGGGTCAACAGATGCTGCATAAGAATGAACAAACACAACAACAAAAAAGAGGAGATTAATGAGATGGAGGTCTGAGCATTTGTGTATGGACTGAATAGTGAGATGTGCAGTGA